CACGGATCCTGGCCAGGATCGGTGTGGTGGTGAGGAGGAGGAGGAGGAGGAGGAGGAGGAGGAGGAGGAGGAGGAGGAGGAGGACAGGTGTGCACGCCCTCCTGGCCTGGCGAGGAGGGCGTAAACTACACCAGTCCTGGGCACAGGGCTGGCCTGACCAAGGTTGGTGCCAAGGTGTATGGCTGGCGCCCTCCTATGAGCGGGGAGGAAGGAGGAACGAGGCTGGCCTGCTGGGGAGGATAGCTGTGGCGCCGAAGCGGGGAGACTCTGCGTGGGTCTCGCGCGTGCGCGCCGGATTGGAAGCGTCGAAGCTTCAGGCACAGGACGCGGGAGAATGAACACCCCCTCCCCCAACCGAGCGGCCATCGACCTGGTTCTCACTCGCTCCCAACACGTTTCCAGGAGGCCTTTCCGCAGCTCCTTCGAAGCTCCTGCGAGCGCCTTCCTCGAGCTGGCAAGGGCCCCAGGCATCCTGCGAAGCATCCTTGCACACGTTTCCCGCAGGCGTTTTTTCACGCGCTTCAGACTGCCCCGCTATTCGGGCTTTGATTGCTACAGGTGGACACCCCCTCCCCCAACCGAACGGCCACCGACCTGGGCCAATTATCGAAGCCCCACGCACACTGTTTTTGAGGGATGAAAAAGACGACCCTACCCTGGGTTACAAGTGCGTGGTCTGTAAACCTCCTGGGAACCCCCAAAGCTTAGAGCCGCCAGGACGCGGCACATCACGCAGGGTTTACCCTGTGAGCCCACAGGAGTTTCAGCGCACAGCGCCTCGTAAACCAGGGTAGGGGCGTTTTTGTATGCCCTTGATGTTTTGGCGCTGCGGAGGCGCACTGAGCGGCGCGGCGGAGTCCAGCACAGCCGGCAACAAGAGCCACCCCCCCCAGCCGGACGCGAACCGCACTCCCGGGCAGCCCCGGCGAGGAGGCGCAGGGCCCACCCGCGTGGCGACACGCTGCGCACGGACTCACGGAGGGGGCAGACGCGAGGGAAGGACGAAGTGCTGCACACACACACACACACACACACAGTGAGGTCAACAAACACACACACACACACACACAAACAAACAAACAAACAAAAAAACAAACAAACAAACAAACAAACAAACAAACAAACAAACAAACAAACAAACACATCATACACAAACACATATGCACACACACCATCCATGTGAAAGATGTAGATTGCACGTCGCGGCAAGCAGCGGGCGCGTCGTGGGCAGCCTGTCGTGATGTTGCAGTGGGTCCCGTCGCGGATGGCGGGGGGATCATGCTTCCCGCTTCGCGCTGGCCCGAATCTCCATCACAGGCCAATGCGAACCGACCCTGGGCGCACGCACCAAGCCCGATGCTGGCCACCACCACCAATTCCTCAGCACGTGCTGCGCCTGTGAGGGACTGCGACGATGAATCTTGCACGAGCGTGCTGCCACGCGCACTGGCACCACTCGAGCACGCTCCGCCCTCCGCGCAAGTGGCGCACCCGTCGCGCCCGAGCCGCGTTGCACGCTCGGCGCGCGCGGCACTCGCGCGACGCCCCCGGAGCGCGCAGCGCACCTTGAAAGCGCACGGCGCACCGGGAGTCCGCACTGGCTCCCACACAGTTGTCCAACGTGTGGCGGCCACCGCCCATGCGAAGTTCTAGATTCATGTTGTTCCCATCGTACTCAAGGACCACATCCCAGAAATAATTTCGGGCACCCAGAGAAGTGTCGAAAGAGTGTCGAAAGAGCGTCGAAACGGTGTCTCCCAGGGCCCGACGCGTGCAAACCCTCGAGTTCGGGGGGGCACTCGAAATTCTCTCTAGTGGTCAAGGCTAAAGTAGGTTGGAGCATCATAAATTCCAGGTGCCACTTCTGTGGTGGGAGGGCGGGTGGAAATGAGCGACGACATTTCGTGGCGCTCCCGTCGGGAGCGCGGCCCCACCTCCTTCCTCCTGCTCGCTCCCCTTCACCTTGGCGACGACCCGAGGGGGTTGCGCTGGATGGGCTCCGAGAAAGTTGGCCAAGGAGGGGGGGGGCGAAGGCAAATCCGCTGAAAATCGGCTTGCTTCTCCTCCACATCCTTCTCCCCCCTCCTCCTCTCTCATCCACCTCCTCCACCCTGCCCCCCCCCTCGTTTTCATCTTCGTCGCTCTCAGGGTCGGCGGCAACGGCCGTAAGGCCTTCGCGATCGGTTCCCAAACCCCTCCCGGGGTCGAAACTGACAAGTCTTCCGAACCACGTCCAGCCATGGCGTCGAGGGGGCATGTTTCTCCCCTCTGTCTGCTGTATGTTGCGTCTTCGGGTGACCTGGTCTCTTTCGTCGCGCCCCCATCCGC